TTTTATATGAATCTAACAAAAACTCATTTTTTGAAAAATTGTAAAAATGGGCCCTTTTAATTGAAGACACTCCATATTAGATAGAAAATTGCTAATTTTCACCAGAGGTAAAATTTACCGGAATGCTATATCTCAAAAACATACTAGCTAATACCTCTCAGGGGTACTAAGTAAAAATGTTCAGAACCCCCAAAAACCTTATGCCAACTAAAATTTGTGTCCTAATGTCTAACCCTAAGCCTTTGTAAAATTTTACTCTAAACCTAAAAACATAAGGGTGGTGATTTTACCTCCGGGTAAATGTAGTTATTTTCTATTAGATATATACTAATACACATATATATAAAAATATTAAAAATATAATCTAATCTAAACTTCAAAAACTAAAGTTAAGTTTTAACTCAAACCTGAAACCAATTTGGTATTTTATATATAACTAATATATTAGATATTAAAAATTTTGTTTTTCTATATAAAATACAAATTAAATTTCAAGCTTAATGTTTAATAAAGACTAACTTTAAAATTGAGTTAAAACATCTAGACTTTTGATATTATCGCTATATATAGGATACAATTATACATATAAAAAAATTGTATTATGAGAGCGATGGCATGCCAGGGTGGTACGCACGCCTTTATTTGCACGAGTAATACAAAACTCTAAAAAAGAAATAGTCAATCGGAATGCAAAAATTTGACTGTTTGGAACAGCCCGACATCACGTGCAAAAGAAGAAAAAAGCGAAAATACTCAAAAACCAGTGTTTAAATCGACCTTGATGCGCTAATTAAAAAAATGTCGAAACCGAAATTTTACAGATAACAGACAACAATCAATTGTTATATCCTCTAATGTTAACGCCCTAGCCCTAAACTTCTATCTTTACGCACTTAGTTTATTTACAAAATTCGATTTTTTTTTTTTTGGGTTGTGTTACTTGCGCAAATAAGTAAACTGGGGTGCACTCTGGCACAGATTTTAGAAATGTCAAAACTATATGTAGTAATATAATAAATTTTTATTAATGAAGATTTTTCGACAGATGATAATTTTATAATAATTATTATAAAAATTTAAATAGATGCATAGTCCAAAATTTTGCAAAGACCAGTATTTCATCTCTATAAACAAAGTTACAGAGCCATTTCTTGAAAAAAGAAACTAGATTTTTTCTTTCTTGCCTTTTTTTCATGAAAAAAATACTAGTTTTTTTTTTTGAAAAAAAGGCAAGAAAGAATTTAGTTTCTTTTTTTCAAGAAATGGCTCTGTAACTTTGTTTATAGAGACGTAATACTGGTCTTTGCAAAATTTTAACCAAATCTATAGCTATGCATCTATTTAAATTTTCGTAAAAATTGGTATAAAAATTATAAAATTATCACTAGTCTAAAAAATAAATTTTGACAACATATAGTTTTGATTTACATAGTATATCGTACACCCCAATGCCACATGGCATGCCAAATTAATTTGTACATGCCAGGTTCCTTACCAAGGCTTTTGTGGTCACCTTTCACATGTTATGAAAATTAACATATTTTATACAGTATTATCAACGCATTTAAATAATTTTCCGTGTACTATTCAAAATTATAATGTATCGGTATAGCAAAAAAAAAAAAAAAATAACAATTCACCGATCAATCGGGTACAAGCGTGACACGTATGACAAATTCGCCGTCCCATAATTAGACCGAATTTAAAATTATTATAAATACCAAGCGAAAATTCTTATCAAACCTCATTATTCCCCACGAGATACTCGCAGAACGTATAAACCTTTCGCCTTTTACTAAAGGTTTCCGTGTGGGTGTCTCACTGAAGTGGGATTATAAATTTTTGGACTTCTTATGGAGAAATCCATGAAAGTTTTTATAAATATAAAGGGCGGGTGGGCTACGAGTAAGAAATTTTTTTCTATTGTATCTGTAAGAATTTTAGTATTGTAGGAATATTTCAACTGGCTTTTTTTTCGAAATATACTGGATACTTGTTTTCAATGTAGAGAGCAATATTGTAGGCTTATTATAAAAGTAAGAATTCTATTTTCATCTGCCCGAGAAGATAATTAACAGCAATGAGCGTTAGTGATGACCTTAACCGGGTTAATCATAACTCCATTATAACATGTTTTCAATTAAAATAACGTCAGGAGATAAAGTAGAAACTGTTACGGCTTATGCCGTAACTTGTTACGACATAAGCCGTGACAGTTTCTAGTCAGGAGAACATGTAATGCATTGATCTTATAAGATTCAATTCTCCGATGGTTCTGTTTAGTTCTTAGCAAGCTACTAAGAGTTAAGCGAAATTGGCAAATGCAGAGTCGTTATTAGACATCTTCTAATCAAAAAAAGCCATTAGATTTTAATATGTCTAATGGTTTTATTATATCCGGTGGGTCCCAATTTAACAGCTATGCCAATGTATAAATTAAGTTTTCTTGACGTTACTCATACAACATGTGGTATAGATAGAATCAATTTTATTAAACATTTTGCTTCTTAGGAAATTAGTTTCAAGGTTTAATCAATCAAGATTTTTATAGAAAAAAACAGTTTAATGGAAGCTTATGCAAACTTGCTAAAAAATTTTTGATATTACATTTGGTTACTATTCTTGATGAGGATAGATCCAAGCAAGTTCTTAGCTTTAAATCTCTAATTCTAGCAGGAACTATTATTACTATTGAAAATATAGGCCCGTATGTTACATGATTTTTTATTAGTGAAATTTCAAGTAATTCTTGACATAATAAATGTTTTTGATCAAGCTAGTTTTATATGAGTCATAAGGATTATGCATGCTGCCTGAACTTTATAATGCTAAAATTTTGATCTATTTTATTATGAAATTATGAAATTTTTTAGTCCTTTTTGTAGTCTTTTTCATAATTAAGATTTAAAATCAGATTTGTTAATAAAAAATATATATAGATATATATTTAAATAAAAACTTCAAAATTTAGCATATACCAATTTTAGTATAAGTTGCTACAACTATTATCTACTTTATAGCAGTGTTATATATTTTGATATCCAAGGCCTATTTACCATATCCAACGTCCAAGAATGTATGAGCATGTATATACTTATAAAATTTAAGAAAATATAAAGATACATAATTATATGTAAAATTAAGATGTTAAACATTTTTGCTTAATGAATTAATTAGGTTGCCGTAATGAAATTTTGAGTTGGTAATATTTCTTTTTTATTATAATATATTAACCTTTTATCTTCTGTTCAAACGTGTCTATTGAAAACACTGCTTTATATAGTATCCATAAATTTCAGTAAACATTACAGGTGCAATCTTTTTTACGCTTTATAACTTATGATTTCAATTTGTTTTGCACGTGATAATTTAGCATTAGCTGCTCAATAATTAAATTACCAAATTACTTATAGGAAATAGTGCTTGAATTATTATTAGTTCAGCGAATTCTGTCTATGGGGTTCAAAAACCAAAGTTATACCGTAGAACACTGCCCAAAAGATCCGGGATCTAATACAAGATACCCACCAAAAATTTTACAAAAGGCCCGGGTATATTATGCTGTAGCGGGTTGTGTCGCAAGGAAAAAAATTTTCAAGTATATATATATTCCGCATTTACAATAAGCAGTCTGGAAATTTAAAAAACCCCATATTTAATTAATAGAGATCTTGTGTTTTGCGCCAGGTATTTTGCTTGAGGGTACTCAAAAAGAGGGATCTTTTAGGCAGTGCTCTATGGTAATTGATTAATTGTCTATTAGGGCCGTTGATGAGGGATAATGGTTCAAGTAATTTAGGAATATAAACCACACTACATCAGTGTGATTTATATGTCACACCACTCCAGACCAGGGACGGTCACGACTCGACTCGCTCACACTTTTGAGTGAGTCAAATCGACTCAATATCAAGAATTCAGTCGATTTGACTCGCTTAAGTTTGACGTGAATCGATCCACCGACTCTAAAAATTAAACAGTGTTTATACATATTATTGCAATTACCTCCGATTAAAGCATATTCCAGTTTTTACTATATAATTGCATATAAAAATTTACTAAGTAAATCGATATTATAATATTAAGTAAGGTTGTTCCGGATATAAAATATGTGGAGCCTAACAATTTGACACAATTTGAATAGCTTCTAAATATATACATACGTACGTAAAAGTAGATACTTACATTATTCAAATCGCAAATTGTCAGAATATACATGTGTTTTATATCCGGAACGACTTAATACAAGTCACTCTCATTATAGTGAACTTTCAATATAGTGAAGACTAATTAAAATCTCGATATAATAAAGTTAAGCTCAAAGTCGATTTATATAAATACTCTCGATACAGTGAATTTACTAATAAAACTCTCGATACAGTGAATTTTTTAAAAACATTTTCTTAATGGAACGGGTCACTTCATTATAACGAGAGTGACTTGATGTTATAATATCGATTCATTTAGCAAACTTTTATATGTAGCTACGAATGGAAATGATATTATTTTGAAGAATATGTAATACAGTTGATACTGTCTAAATGCATAATTTTTTAAAAAAAATTAATAGTAATATGCATTTAGACAGTTAATTTTCTGATATCTGATTGGTTAATACTGTATAAATGCATAAAATTAATTTTTTTTGTCTTTCCCGACCGTATGCATTTAGACAGTATCGACTGTAGTACTAAGTACTATAATATACTTTATGGTATAGAATTTAATTTAGTGTGGTTTTAAAGGCTACTTCGGCAAAGTATATAAATAATTTGCATGTTCGGATATACCTAAAAGCATGAGTACTAGTACTTAGTGCTTGGTAAAAAATATTAAAAATACCAGGTGCCTGAACGTGCAGTTGCAGAACCCTGATAGCTATTTTAAAAACTACATACTTATTCGAGTTTTTAAGCTTCTGCTCTAAATAACGTACGTACGTACGTACATGACCCAGGAATATTGTTTTAGATTGCATGTATACATATAGCATTATAAATGTAGTGGTTAAAAATAGCAACTAAATTTTCTGTAGTCTTTGATTCTAATTTTAGTTCCTGCACTGTAGGATTGGCATTTCAATAGGCATTACCTGATGTGACAAATATCACATGAAGAGAAACCATGTACGTACGTACGTACGCACGCACGTATATACATCATGAATTTTTGTGTTTCCATAGAATAAACATTAATGAGTAAGATTTTGGGTTAGCTCTATTACCTAGTAAATATAATTTAGTATATATAAAAATAATCGATATTAACATATTAACAAGATTTCGTATGATAAACCACAGGGTGCGTTGAAATATTGGAGTATATTATTGGTCTAATTATAAACATAGTATAGAATAAAGATTTTTTATAGTGAAGTTTTTGAATTTGCATTCTATTATTAAATTATTAAAAAAATTGATTTTACTTCATTAATTTTTTTTATAATATTTTAACATTTTAAATTTTATAAAAGCAAGATATTTTAATAAAAAAATAAATATAATAATAACTAATAATAATAGAGTTTACCTTTCTGATTAAAATACAGTATATTACTGCTTTTTAAAGTATTTACTAGTATTCTGAGTTATATATATGGGATCTTTGCTAGGAAAATCACCCTCCGACAGTTTTCGATCGGGCTAATTCGGAATATTTTAAACCAACATACCGGTTCTTATTTACATGTAAATCATTTTTTGTCCTTATTGATTCAATAGCTTATTGAATGAACGTTTGAATCAATAAAGGCAAAAATAATTTACATGTAAATAAGTACCGGTATATTGGTTTGAATTTGTCCGAATTAGCACGATCGGAAAATGTCGAAGGGTGATTTCCTAGCAAAGATCCCATATAGGCCAAATTTAAGTTTGTTTATTTTTATATATAAAAATACAATATTTATTAAATTTCTTTTAAAATTTTTTTTTAGCATTTGCTAATCTTTTTATATATAAATAATTATTAAATTTAATAAAACTTGAATAAAAAAGATAGCAATTTATATTTGTATAGTATATTAAATACAAATATTTATAATACTTAAAATTTTAAATATAAAATTATTATTGAAGTTTTAATAAAAAATTTCTTATAAAAATTTAGTATAGGCTATACTTTACTTTAATTTTAAACTCTACTCTAATATAATTTTAATTTAATTTTTTTATTTTAAATTTTAATTATATAGTATAAAAATTTTTAATTTATCAATATAATAAATAATCTTTAATATCTATTAATCTTTTAAAAATTAAAATTTTAAAAAACTAATTAGTAAATTTGTTTTTTAAATAAATATAATAAAAATACTAATCAGGTTTTAAAATATAATTATATATATATATAGTATATAGTGATTATTTATTTAATTATAAAAGTTCTCATATGGGACTAGCAGGTACTTGGCTTGAAAAATATATATGAAAGATTCTCTACTAGAAAGGTATATCAATTTAAATGAAGTATCTTATAACAGGTATACCAAATTAAAAGATCATTAAGGATTGATTTCTCGAATGAACTAATTTGGGAGTTATCAAGATTTAATAGTAAGATATAGAGTGAATATGTTAAGTAACTAAAAATAGTCTGAATATCAAATCTAGATATAACCCAATATATTGTAAAAACATAGCATACTCTGGTAAATTAGATCATAGATAAGATTGTCTAAATCTGTATTCTTAAGATAGATATATAGCTATATAAAACAAATACTTAAAATTATTTAATAAAGATATGAAGCAAAGCTTTACCTTAATACCAAAAAAAAATTTAATTATAAAGATATCTTTTTATAAAGTTCAAATATAAGTACAAGACTAGAATAAAAATTTTTAAAAAGAAATCAATATTATAAAATA